AAGAAAATAAAATCCCAAACTTCACGGGCAAGTACTTTAATAAGAATATTCAAGGCGATCGACTCCCAAATTTCAGACATGTGGAATTTATCTAACCATATTGCAAACTGCAAGGCAAACATGCCAAGCAATCTGAATTTTACTCTCACAGTAGCTCTAGAGTTTCACAATTCACATAAATATTTGCAATTTAATCACATATACTCACTTGGTTTTGACCCAACTACAAAATACATGAATCTGCAAAAGATGAAATAAGTGATTAAACTAAAAATCACATCAACAATTTGACAAGGAAAAGGGGAACAGGACTTGCAAACTAACCTGAAATGTGGCCCATACAGCAAGAGCAAGAAGCACCCAATTGGACAGAGAGAAAACCCATTTCTCAAATACCCAAAGAACAACCAACATAGGAATTACTAAGGGAAGCAAAGGTTGCTGCTCTAACAACTTGTACAATGATTCCAGAGCTTCATTCAAGTCAAAAAATTTCTTCTTTGCTCTGCCCATCTCCTTAATTTTTTTTTTTCTTTTTTTTTTTTATAAATCAAGTTTCTCCAAGATTGGCCATGGCTGTCAAAAGATCATGAAGCTCTCAAGGGTTTGCCCACAAAATTTTACAGTAGGCAGAACCGACGATCCTACTCCACTTGAATCGTATAGGATTTGCACTCAGAACACAAAAACGTGTATTCTGTGTACGTGTGTGTTTTTTGACTGGCTGCTGAATAAGAGGAAAAAGTTCTCCAAACATTTCTTTCATCTTCTTCTTTTATTTTGGTTTCCCTAATTAACAAGTAAAAAGTAAAAAGTAAAAAGTAAAAATGAAGAAGGATATTTGTTTGCGTTGGTGATATGGAAAGTCAAGGTCAAGCAAAGGTGGCCACCGGGTCGGGCTATCGTCTATGGATCAGGTGGTCAAGCCCGTTGATCATTCGACCCAGGCTCATTCACCATGGCTCCAGGTTAAATTTAGAAATCGTATTCGTGTTACGCTTTCCGATTTTGGTTCAAGCCTTCAAGGCATTTTAACATACCTTCTTATCTCCATCGGGATAAATTTGATCTTACCCCATGGGATAGTGCCCCCATGGGTTATTAGCCACATGTTTTACACACACCCATGTGGGTGTGTATGTGTTTGTGTGTGATTGTGTGGCTAAAACTTTATGGGAACACTACCCCATGGAGTAGTATCGAATCTGCCATCCATCGGCGTCGACGCCATTTTTTTATAAAAAAAAAAACTTCTATTTAAACTTGTTTAAATTTAATTCGTTTATAAAATTTAAAATTATCAAAGTTCTAATAGTGAACTGTTAATATTGATATTTATATGTCGAGCAAAGAGATTATGGCCTTATTTGGTAGTTAGCGGTTAGCTGTTAGCTGTTAGGGGATTGCATTAGCTGCTTTGACCAGCGGATTGCGTTAGCTGTTTTGACTAGCTGATTGTGTTAGCGGTTTGTGAAAAAGTTTTTGGTAAAAAATAGTTGTTTTAATTAATCGCTGAGATGTAAAATTACTTATAAAAACATTATCATACTTTATCATTCTTATTTATGTTTAACTAATAATTAATCAAGAAATAGAAATAATTAATATTTTAATTATTTATTAAAGTGATTTAAAATGTAATAAAAATGTGAATAATAATTAAATAAAAATATTTCTTATTCGAGTAAATAAGTTCACGTTGTATAATTAAAGTCATGCAATTATTTAATAAAATATGCATCTATTATAATTAAGTATGAAATAGTTCAATCATAAACAATACTAAATGTTTATAATTTGTTGGTACATAGATTAGAAATAGCGAGATATTTTATATATGTCTTGGTACATAGATTAGAAATTAGTAATTGATTTACAAAATATATTTGACACTGTAAGCTTGATATATATTTTTAAGTAAATGTTTATAAAGTAATACAAAGAAATTGTTTTTCTTATAATTATGTTTATATTAGCAATTTAATTATATATTTTTAAGTACATTTAATTATATATTTTTAAGTACATTTAGATTAATGAAAAATCAAAAGAAATAATATTAATTAAAGAAAAAAGAGCAGCTGTAAAGTAGTTGCTAAATATTTAATTGAAGTTTACCAAAAAAACAAATAAATGAAACATATATCCCTTAATTGTCTATCATGCAAAAAAACGTGATGCTAGGCAATTAAAATGAACAAAGTGGAACAGTAATCATGTAATAATTGAGATATAATAAAAAAATGATAAAGGACATCCTAAACCGCTGCTAAAACCAGTGTTTCAAAAGTTGGCGTTTCAGTACAAAACGCTGAATGGATCCGCTAAATACCAAACATATTTAAATAGCTAGTCAACTGGTCAAATAAGTTAAATTTGGTCAAACAGTTAAAAACTTACATAACCGCCAAAAACCAAACAAAGCCTATTATTCATAAAACCAAGTGATTGATTGGCTAATATAATTGAAAATTTTAAATAGTAGTAATATTAAATTTTTGGAGAAGTATTTTAATATTTTTGTGTAATTAATTTTTGAAATAATATTTGATGAAGTTATTATTATTTTAAAAGGAGCATTAAATATAAATTGAATTGAAGCAGCATCATTATTTGCAGTTACTAGTTGAATTAGAGAGTGCTTTTTTTTTTTTTTTAACGATAAAAAAAAAAAAAGAGTGCAGTTTTTTTATATACAACAAGTACATCAATTTTTTTTTAAAAAAAAAAATAGTGTTTTAGGTGGAATTTTAAAAAAAAATAAAAATAAAAATAAAAAAAATAGGTAAGGAGAAAGTCCACATAATTCTCGACGCACCCCGCTTATTCTTGTTTCATACATGGGGAAAACACTAGGAAGATGAATTTCTTTGATTAAAGGATTTAAAATTGATCAAACAAAGAAACACAACTGAATGAAGAATAAATCGATGAGAATTTATTAAGGGCTTGAAACATACTTCGCCAAAATTTCACCCTTTTCACCCAATTTGTGTCTTGATTTCTTGCACCGTTCTCAACCTCATGCTTTATTTGGCTTGGTTCTAACAAATCTGTACTACCAAGTAGGTCGACACGAATTCTTCTTTAAAAAAAAAAAAATCACCAAACTAAAAATGTGGGTTTCCTCCCAAAAAGTTGTCTATTTAACATCTTGAGCACGACGTACACATAAATTCATCAATGAACGAGCTTGGCATGACGAACTTCTTCCCCTCCATCTCATCTTCTTTATTGTCAAAATATATCCTTGCTCAATCGCTTCTCGGTGGTTCCAGGAGTTTCTTAGTCAAATGATCATCATCCCCAATGTGCACCTATCGTTTTTCGAATTTCGAAGAACCAAAACTCACATATTTCTTCATACTTGACGAGGCATCTCTCAAATTTGCACTAACACCTTTAGTGTTCATCTTGGACTTCTTCTTGTTTGGTTGTTCTCTAAATTGATCCTGTTTATACTCACTCTCTAATTCAAATGCATCATCTTTCTTCTTGAATTAATTCCATCCCCTTCAAATTCCTTCTTTCTATTTTTCCCCAACTCCAATATCTTTTTTTCACAAAGGGATGGTTGCATTTATGACAAGTAGAGTGGAATACAAACTGTACCTCTTTATCAATAACGTCCACGAACGAGCATTTGTCAAATATGGACGAGCTTCCTGGGCATTTGCCGCCATTTGCCCATGGAATATGTGACCGTCTCCCCAAGCAACGAGAGAGGAACATGGTGATTCTTGACACTGATAAGTGTATTGGTTGTCTTCATGAAGGGTAGGTCAAGCAAAATCATTTGCTCATTTTCGGTGTTCGGGACTTCTCCCATACCAAGGACAACAAAGTTCACCGGCACCACAATAGACTTTTACATCTTCAAAAATTCCCTTGGATATCTCAATGTTCTATTCGCTAGTTTAAGACACATCCTTGTTGGTTTATAGACATTCCAACTCAAATTGTTTGTATATCGAGTAAGACATTAGATTATCCTAGCCCCCAAATCGAGCACGCCGATTGTCTCTTTTCCATTTCAATATTAACTGTTACTCTATTTGCGGTTATCTTGAAGAGATGGAATAATAACAACATGATGTAGAACGTGATACGAAAGCAGGGAAGAACGAGATACTCTCTCGTGAAAATAGAACACACCAGATAAATTTTATAAATTCTTCAATGTTTTTGATGTCTGACATACGATATTAAATAGAAAAAGAGTCCACACTTGCAAAACAACTGCAAGGACCTTATTCACTTACCTAAACTGAAATAATAAATAAGGAAATAGAATAATAACTAGAAAGGGAAAATAACATAAATAAGAGACTAAATCCGGAGTCGATCAAATTTATCCAAAAAGGCCAGGGTAGTCTCGTCTCCATCATCCTCCCCCTGTTGAGAAGGATTCGGCCGCGAATTTGAACCAGCCTCGTCTCTGTCGGAATTGACACCGGCAAATGGCACCAAGTGTTTGACGTTAAAAACGTCGGACGTGCGAATATTGGAGGCAAGGCGAAGGCGATAAGCATTCGGATTGATCTTCTCCATGATTTCCACCGGGCCAATCTTCCGGGCCGACAACTTGTTGAACTCATGAGCCGTGAAGCGATCCTTAGTGAGAACGGCCCACACGTAATCGCCAACGTCGAACTCGACGTGACGTCGCCTGGTATCAGCGCGCCACTTGTACGCGTCGGTCGTAGCTTCCAATCGAGCCCGGACAGCCTCATGCGTGGCCCGCAGCTCCGTCACAAGGTCAGCTGCTCGGCGATCGTCCGTCGCCGACGGCAGAAGTACCAGGTCGGACGGGCCCCGCGGACACATGCCATAAACAGCCGCGAACGACGATAACCCAGTGGTCCGACTGACTGTCGTATTAAGTGCAAACTCGGCCTGGCTCAAACGATGATCCCAACTACGAAGGTTGTCCCCCACCAAGCAACGAAGCAAATTGCCCAAGGAACGGTTCACCACCTCAGTTTGTCCATCCGTCTGAGGGTGGTATGCGCTACTGAAATTCAACTGAGTGTTCGCCATGCGCCACAGGCTACGCCAAAAGTGGCTCAAAAAACGAGTGTCACGGTCCGAGACAATGTAGGAAGGAAGCCCGTGTAAACGGTAAACCTCCCGGAAGAAAAGCTGAGCGACATGCAGCGCATCCGTAGTGCGTTTACACGGCACAAAATGCACCATTTTCGAGAACCGATCAACAATCACAAAGATAGAGTCAAAGCCACGTTGCGTGCGAGGCAGCCCTAGGACAAAATCCATACTAATCGCACACCAAGGCTGGGAAGGAATAGGAAGGGATCGATAAAGCCCGGCATTCGAAGCAACACCCTTCGAAACATGACAAACCCGACAACGCTCCACATAACGGGCCACATCACGACGAAGAAAGGGCCAATAGTATCGTCGACCCACCAGATCCACCGAGCGGTCCCGGCCCACATGCCCTGCACCGTGTAGATCCGCCACGAGCTTGACACGCAAGCTACCATCCGGAATAC